TCAACCCAATTGCCATCCTTTAAGGAGGCGCGAAAAGCAGCCTTAAGCGACCGGTGGAACCGTTCACACGTCCCATTAGCCTGCGGGTTGTATGCGGTTGTGCGGTGGACTTTAGCCCCCAGTCCATCAGCCATGGCTGACCAAAGCTCGGAAATGAACTGGGGGCCTCTGTCTGACGTAATGTCCGCGGGTGGGCTGAAACGCGAGACCCAGGTCGACAAAAACGCCTTGGCCACCACTGCTGCGATAGTGGACGCCAGGGGGACCGCCTCCAGCCACCTGGTGGTGCGGTCAACAACAGTCAAAAGGTGCGTAAAACCTTTTGACTGCGGCAGAGGACCCACCAGATCGACATGCACATGATCGAAACGTTTGCCGGGTATGAAGAACTGCTCCAGGGGCGCCTTGGTGTGTTTATGAACCTTCGCACGCTGGCAGGGAATGCACGCCGACGCCCATTCCTTAACAGATTTGCGAAGGCCTGGCCAAACAAATTTAGAGCTGACCAGTTTAACAGCAGCCCGGACCCCCGGATGAGAGAGAGCATGTACCGAGTCAAAAACTCGACGACGCCAGGAAACGGGAACCACTGGGCGAGGGCGGCCGGTGGAAACGTCACAGACGAGCAGGGGACCACCGTCCTGCATGGGTCTGTCCTCCAGTATGAGGCCCGTCTGGGTGGATTTAAGCGCGAGGATGTCTGGGTCACCGCTCTGATCGGCAGCCATGGCGGAGTAGTCTATGCCGAGAAAGACAGGAGAAACCAGCGCACGGGACAAACAGTCAGCCACATGATTGGATTTACCAGCCACGTGCGAATGTCCGTGGTAAACTCAGAAATTGCTGCCAACTGGCGCTGCTGGCGTGCACTCCATGGATCAGAAACCTTGGACATGGCAAAGGTCAAGGGTTTGTGATCCACGTATGCGGTAAAGTGACGACCCTCGAGAAAAAAACGGAAATGACGAGTCGCCAGGTGGAGCGCCAGTAGCTCCCTGTCAAAAACGCTGTAATTGCGTTCGCTGTCACACAGCGTACGGCTGAAAAAGGCGAGGGGTTGCCAGACACCCGAGATTCGCTGTTCCAGCACCGCACCCACCGCTATGTCCGACGCATCGGTGGTCAACGCAATCGGCGCTGAGGGGGATGGGTGGGCCAGAAGGGCAGCATTAGCTAACGCAGACTTAGCATCAGAAAACGCTTGGATGCTTTCCGGAAACCAGTCAACGGAGTCATTAGCTTTCTTACCTTTTAACGCCCCATAAAGGGGCTTCAGCAGATGTGCCACTCTGGGGAGAAAACGGTTGTAAAAATTCACCATCCCCAAATATTCCTGCAGTGCCTTAACATTCGTGGGACGCGGAAATTCCGAAACAGCTCGGACTTTGTCAGGCAACGGAACCGCGCCCTCGGCGGAAATACGGTGCCCAAGGAAATCGAGAACCGGCAACCCAAACTGGCATTTAGACGGATTAATAATCAGTCCATGCTCCGCAAAATCTGACGCAGACGGAACATGTGCTGCTCCTTCGAGCTGCTGGCCACCAGTATATCATCAAGATATACAAAAACAAAGGGCAGCCCGCGCAAGACCGAGTCCATCAACCGCTGGAAGGTGCGCAGAAACTCGAAAAGGCCGAAAGGTGTAATTACAGCGGTTTTGGGGACATCCTCTGCGCGCACGGGAACCTGGTGATATCCCCGTACCAAATCGATTTTCGAAAAAACCGAGGTCCCCGCAAGGTGGGCGGAAAAATCTTGGATGTGGGGAATGGGATAATGATCGTTCTCCGTGACATTATTAAGACGGCGGAAATCCCCACAAGGTCGCCACCGACCATCAGATTTAGGCACCATGTGTAACGGGGAAGCCCAGGCACTATTCGAACGCTGCACGATGCCCAGACGCTCCATGGTGGCAAATTCTTCCCGAGCGACAGCCAGTTTGGCAGGGTCGAGGCGGCGCGCGCGCGCGAACACCGGGGGCCCTACTGTAGTTATGTAATGCTTCACCCCATGCTTCGTCACCGTGCTCGAGAAAGTGGGGACAGTGAGTGAGGGAAACTCAGAAAGCAAACACTGAAAAACGTCACCCGAATCTACTGAGTTAGCATGCACGACGGGCTGAGCACCCCGAGTCAAACAGGGCAATGAGGAAAATGACACAGCATCAATTAAACGTCTGTTAGCAACATCAACCAGCAGTCCGTGAGCACAAAGAAAATCAGCGCCTATTATAGGCACAGAGCTAGCAGCAACAACAAAGTTCCACTGAAAGTCACGGTCATAAAAGCAAACAGTCACCAACCTTTCCCCGAAGGTTTTGATGGAAGAGCCATTAGCCGCTGTTAGCAATGGCCCGCAGCCCTCAGCTAGCCTGTCCGAGCCAGCCGGGGGAAGAAGGCTCTTCTGTGTGCCGGAGTCCACCAGGAAACGCCTCCCCGAGCGTGAGTCCTCTAAGAAAAGCAGCCTTTCCTTGTTGCTACAGAGCGCTGACATGCCCATTTCCCTGGGTCTGGAAACTGCAAGGCGGGAGACAGCGCCGTGCCTTTGCTCCAAAACGCTGGTGATAAAAGCAAAGCCCTTTTCCGCGGTGCCGCCGTGCAGCGATTCCGGCTACCGTGGACGAGTCGGAGGGCCCCTGGAGCATCGGTGAGGGGGCGGGGGAAAACGCTGGTGAGTCCTGAACAATCGCCTGGACGCTGAAACTCCTGGTAGCCAGGAGAATGCGATCTGCCTCTTCCGCAAGGGAGCGGTAATCCTTCGTGGCCAATAGCGGGGAGTTGGCAAGGCCAGCGCGCACTGGAGCTGGCAGCTGTCGGAGAAAGAGGTGGGTGAAGAGAAATCCTCCGTCATCCGCGCCCAGCAAGGACAGCATGCTCTCCATGAGCTCGAGAGCGGTGCCGTCGCCCAGGCCCGCGAGGGAAAGGAGTTTCTCGGCCCGCTCAGCATCAGAGAGGGAGTAACGCCGCAGCAGCAGCGCCTTCAGGGCGGTGTACTTGCCTTGGGCTGGGGGGTCCCGGAGGAGAGTCATCACGCGGCGGGTTGACAGCGGGTCAAATGAGGCCACCACATGGTGGTATTTAGTATCGTCGGCTGAAACTCCACGAAGAGCAAACTAAGCTTCTACGTGCACGAACCATGAAGGAGGATCGTGAAGCCAAAAATCCGGCAATTTAAGCGCCACAGCAAATGCAGCCATCGGCGGAGGTGAAAGTCCGGCGGCAGCCGATGCCTCCAGGCCGGAGCTGGCTTTGTCGTCGAGCCTTAGCATGTTCGCTACAGGGGTCACCAATGTGGAGGTATGTAATAACGACAGGAGAGGTCTCAGTGTCTCAGTCACTGCAACTTTATTAACTGACTCTCAGAACATCACATACAGTAAGCGCCAAAATCTCCACCCCTGCACTTCCCTTCAACTTGGGTGTGAGTGGAGCCACCTGGTGACCGCATCTGACCAGAAAACCACAGAACTCCTATTATCAAGATTAAGATGAGAAACACTGATCCAAAACACAGACAAACTGAAGGTTACACCTTCAGCACCTCAGCACCACCACAACCTGATCGCCTCCATGCTGTGCAAATGTAAAAAACAATGAGCATACTTTTCAGAAGTGTATTCATTGCAAATCTTCTAACAGTTTAAGATGCTGGATTTCTGTTTTTTGAGAGCTATAAACCATAATCATGAAAATTCAACAAAAATAATGGTTGAAATATTTCACTTCACATGTAATGAATGCAGAATACTTGAGTGTTTATCTTTTTGAATTGAATTAGTAAAGAAAAAGATTTTTTTCCACAATATTTTAATTTATTTAGACACACTTGTTTCCATAGTGCCGCTGACTATTTCTCCCAGCATGAAAGCCAGTCACATTTGATCTTTCTTAAACAAAGTCATTATTTCTCCTATTGAAATATTTGCCATCTGAGAAAAGAAAATCAGAACGTATTCTCTAGGGTTACGAGAGTTTTAAAGGATTGGAGTGCATTAAAGAAAGCCTTCACAGCCTTGGTATTAATTCCGCTCTCCAATTTTAAATGGCTAGGCTGTAACCCGTTTGCGTCTTTCGTTGTGATTTTTGATACTGAATAATGAGCGAAAAGATAAAAGAGTGAAACATTCAAAACTTTCTCAAAAACTACAGGTTCTGTCACAGAGTGAACCAAAGGATGAAAGACGAGGAAAAGTGCAAATAAAAGAGATGGAGGTGGAGCGGCAGGTGACTGAGTGGCAGTGTAGATCGTCTGCCAAGCTACTGTCACTGGTACTTAAAGGGCACACACACACACACACACAGATGCAAACAAATTCCACTTCTCCACTATGTTCACACAAGGGTGGAAAACACAAGTTACAGGTGAATTGTGATGGTATTATAAAAATACATTCTGACAAAAAAAAAACAAGAAATAGTTTTTTTCTAGGACTCACCAACAATAAACAACACACATACAAACACACACACACACAAATAATGATGTGTTTTTAAAAGTTTTCTTCCTATACACTGTTACTCTACCTGTCTGGTTATCGTGATGCCCAGGGCCTGTCAGTCAGAGAATATACCACACACACACACACACACACACACACACTAACACGTGGTGGGCGATGGTGTACAAGTAACTGCGGGTGCCCACATCAAAATGCAGGTTGGAGGTTTGACATTCCTGGAGGCTGTGTCCGTCTAGCCAGTTAGGCGGAGGACAGCCAATAACGCACACACACACACACACACAGACACCCAACACTGGCCTGACTATCTGATGAGCCTAATGCTGATTCAAGTCAATAGTGAGAAAAAAGGGATTTTAAATGCTCCACCTCTTTTACCTGCGTGTGTGTCCGCAAGTGTGTAGTAGATGTGGTGGGACTTAAACATATGTGCTTTTCCTTGATGCTTGTCTGTGTGTGTGTGTGTGTGTGTGTGTGTGTATGTCCTATAACAGTAATGAAGGCAGTCTGAGAGATTATCTCAGTGGGGCGCTTGCAGACCTCAAGGTTAAAGGAGCACAAAGGCGCAGCAGAAGCAGTGTGTTCTGTGCGCGTGTGATTGTGTGCATGCCTTTGTATACGTGTATATGAGGACGTACAGCATGCGCGTCTATCTGTGCATATCTCTGTGTGCGTGGGATGTATAGGATTTGAGGTTGTGACAGGAGAGCCACAAAATGGATGATGATTGATTGGCTTGACGTTAAGAGAGAGAGAGAGAATGAGAGGAAATGCAAAGAAAAGAATTGAAGATAAACTATGATTAAAATAAACATTTTAATAAAAGGGTGATTTAAAAATGTTATGAAGACTTTGAAGTCTTTAAGACTCTATTAGTTCAGCATTTGCGGTATATTCTCAATTCTTATTACTGGAGCGTGTTGAAAGACTGAAAGACTTGATGTGAAACACAAGCTTTAGATATAATGTGGTAATAAATACATTTTTTTTAAATGGCAGGGCCAGGAGAGCTGATTTCACTTGCCTCTGGTCAAGTGCTATAATTTGCCAGACATTTCTTTTTCTTCACCTGGTGGGAGCGCCTATAATAGTTTATTATATAGCCTTGTAGAACATTATGCAATCCAAAAGAGCTTTTTTCACAGCAGACATATTAACTTGTCACTGCAGGGAAAATACAGATTAAACAAAGTTGATTTACCATGGCTTCACTCCCATCAAGGGTCCCGGTAAGCCATGCCATGGCAGTAAATCTGCATGCTCCCAATTCTTGCAGTTAGCTCCTATTTAATGCTGTCAGTTACATCAGACCCGATTTTTACTTAGAGAATGGCAATGATTTGTCTCTGAGAGCAAAACCTGGGCTTTAAAAATCCTCTAAGTTTTCTGTTCTTAACTTGGCACAGCTGCTGGGGGGTGGTTGTGGATGAGGAGGGACCACGGGTCATCTAGCATCGAGAAGGTCTGGGATTGATTCCCTGGTTCAGGATACTTTATTTGTACCTGTAGGCAGATTTGCGCTGCAGTCATGGGTCATCCATCATCACATGCTCATTCTCAACAAAGCCACAGCAGACAACATTTTCACATAATACAAAATACTGAAAAACAGTAACAAAACTTGGGCCTAGTATCGCCCCTCACTAATGGAAAAAAGTATCATTTGTTCATCTGAGTAATGGCTGCCATGACAAAGCTATTTTTAAACCTAGTTGTTTTACATTTTGGGACAAGAAGCATTCATCCAGAAGAAAAAAAGAACTTGGGAAAGGATACTGAACCGTAAGTTGCTTCTGATGCATCCATCTGAGTGTGGATGTGAATGTTAAATAAATGTTGGTGTACTAAAAAAGCACTTTTATGATTGAGGCTTGTAGTAAAAAGCCCACTTCACAGTTACACCTTAGAACAGAAAACGGGTATATAAGTACCAGTCTGTTTACCATTTACCAAACTGGCAACATATTGCATAGTATGTAAATCTCAGTATGTAACGTTGAAGCGTACTCATTATTGATTATGGATTCCACACAGCTAAAGGAATAGGGCACCTTTTGGTTTCCTTCATGCTTGAAGTGTTTCCTTTGCTGTTTACGACTGTTTAGTCAACCTTGCCAAATGGCCACTGAAGTTTTAATGTCACTCATTCAATTAAAGTTCGAGGGAGAGCTGAACCTGGGGGGGGCAATAAGTCACTTATTGGTATTATCCTGCCCTGCTAATTACTGAAGCAATGAACTTTAATTAATATCTGAGCTGGGTTTTAAAGCATGCAGACGTGCATGTGTGTGGGAGTGTGCATGTGCGTGTCGCTTGTGTGCCTCTTTACGCACTTGCGGGCGACTCTCCTTTATCTCAAGTCATCTCTCTTCAACACGTATGTACACACACATCCTCGTAGGAGGCGGAGGCTGACATTTCGCAGAGTGTCTCGGTTCACGTGAGGAACGCTGACACTGTGAACCTCAGAAGGCTAGCAGTGCTGCTAGCATTAGCATAATAATCTCTTATCAGCAGCATTGAGGACCCGATCCAGAACAGAAATGACAAGCAGTAAACACGTGGCTCGATCAGTTTGTGTTCCTTAAAGGAGCAGCTTGTACATTATCTCAGTTTTGATCATTTTACTCTGTATAGCAAAATCCAAAAGGCTTTAACATGCTATATGGCTAGCCTGAGAAAAAATATTTCTTTACATATTATTTTTTGCACAATTAAAAAAAAAAAGTCCCAAACACTAAAATGTTCTTAAGAGGGATTAACATGATTTTGCTATAAATAAATGCTTAGAATTGTTTATGCCTGTGACTGCGGCGTCCACCTAATATGGCATTTACAGTCAGGATACAAAGAAATGCCACTTTCTTTCAGTTTTTACATATCAATACATAATCAAAATAATCAGGTCTTTACCAGGCCTTAAAACAAAACATGATATATTACAGCATGTAATTATTTATTTAATAAAAAATTAAGCCTAAATGCAGGAGCAGTGTGTGAAAAACTAAGTACACCATTGCTGCTTCCATAGGAATTTACAGGGTTAAGTAGTAGCCAGGTGCTGCTAATGAAATGCACTCGATTAACTGGTAAACAGCAAGTGTGACCACCTTCCTCTGGTAATTTGCTTGTCTGGAGCAGCCATTCATTCAATGCCAATGAACACCATCATTCTACAGAGAAAAAGATCATTCACAAGTGGAAAACATTCAAGACAGCTGCCAATCTTCACAACAGTGGACATGCCAGCAAATCCACCCAAAGATTCGACTGTGCAATGCTCAAAGAAACTGCAACAAACCCAAGAACAAAAGTATTCAAAAGTATTCTAGACTCAAATATGAGGTCGTCTGTCTGAGAGCCAAAGGTTGGCCCAAATGGGGTCATGCAACGAGCACAGCAGGAAATGTGCAACTATTAGCATTACATTGCTCATTTAAAATTGTAGCCGATATTTGGCTAACTTTTGGATAACACAGATTTCAAAAGAAGTCATGATTAGATGCAGTGCTTTTGAGCATATTTTACTCCAGGGCTACAGTGACTGCATTTAACAACTGGAAAATTCA